ATACTTATCTTTTTATAATTTTGATATTATTCATATTAAAGGTGTAAACAATTATCTTACAGATTTCTTAAGCATGAATATCGAATTTGGAGATAGATGATATTAAAAATTCATTGATAGATGCCAAACGACAAATGGAATTTCTTGTTGAGGAATCAGAAGATATAAAGATTGGAATAGAGCAATTAGCAGAAACTCTCCAACGTAATATCAAATTGTTGGTAGAAATCTCTAATTCTCATTCCGATTATACCAAACAATTGAATGACATAATTGATGATATTACTTCACAATTCGAGTCATTAAATACCAAACAGGGAATACCAACTAATACCAAACAGGAAATACCAAAAATACAAACAGGAACATCATATGATGGAAGCAGTAGTGGACCCAGCAATATTAAAAGAGACATGCCAAGTCCCCAAAAGGTGACAATAAAAAGCAGTAATGATCATACAAGGGTTATTAGAATCAGGACTGATGAAGATGATGATACCCCTTTATCATCAAAAAAAGAAGAATATAAATCTTTTGCCAAGATTGTTTATGAATTGGGAGAAAATGACTCCTATTTTATTTCATTAGGAGATCATGTTTATCCCAAGTTGATCATTACCAAAGATGCAGACCCCCTAATGGTCAAAATGGCAACTGATTATGGATTTTTAGATCTGATCTACCCCGGAAAGGATCTAAAAGAAATTGAAAAAATTGATAATATATTTAAATCAGAAATATCAAAATTTGCTCAAGGACGATCCATATATATATAATTTTATTCAACAAGTCCTAAAGTTGATGGAAGGATATTTTATCCTGCAGAGCATATTATAACAGTTGGATATGTTGGCCGTGATTTTCAAATTGAGGTTGGCCAAAATAAAAGGACAATAACAAAAATTACCCAATCATGGATGAAATCTCGAAGAGTTTTGGGATTAAAAGTTCTTTATAATATGGCAAAAATTCTCTATGATAAAAATTTAAATGTCTTTACCAATATGAAGGATGGACACTCCTCACCAATAATGGAAGGGAGAAATCAACAGTGTTGGAAGAATATATTTAAAAATTTGATACCCATCAGATCAGTGGAAGCCCTACAACAATCCAAGAATCATGCAGGCGGAGGGACTGTCCCACGTGCAAACAAAAATAAAGAAGATATGACATAAAGAAGATAGATAATGGAATGCTTTTGACAAAGCACAAAAAGATAAGATAAAAATAAAAGAAGACATGACATAAAAGAGATAGATAATGGAATGCTTTTGACAAAGCACAAAAAGATAAGATGATAAAAGGACGACTGTGCCTTTGATGCATGCATATAATGGTGGACCAAGACAATAATTCAAGAAAAGAAACGATAATGTAGGACCTCCAAAATAATAATAGAGAGACAGGTGTATCTCAAATGAAATTATTGATGTATAGAATAGTGGTTTCAATAATTGTAACCATGTATAAATAGAAGCTTTTGGGCAAGAAGAAAGGAAGAACGAATTTGAGCACTTAGTTTGTGAGCAAGCCAAAAATCTTTTGTCAATCTTGTATCAATTTCAAGAATATCAATAGATCAAATTTTGAATAGATCATTCACATTCTAATCCTCTCAAAAGGATATGAGTTTCTAAATTTATTTTCCCATAAATTCTTGAAAAATCAGATAGAGAATTTCTTTCTTACTTTAGCAATAAACAATTTTTTTCTTTAACAGAAGTCTAGAAATTTAATTCTTAGAAATAATACAGTGATAGCAAGAAGGTGGAATAGCAAGAATTTCGTGAAAGTAGGAAGCCATTGAAGGGACTGGTTTGCACATCCAGAGCTCGAAGGTCACTTAATTCTGAGGTTAGAAATCCAAACCAAAACTAAAGTAAAACTACTTATTTTCTGCTAAATTTAGAAAGAACTCCCTTAGATTTTAAAGAATCGCATGAATCAATTTAATACTACAAAATAATATTATAGCATCATAGTTTGATATTTGAAAATGTCACGATATACAATTGAAGGATTAGATAAAATTTTAGAAAAAAATGTTAAGAAAAATAAATGATATTGATTTATTATTAGAAGATATTGATATATTATCTAAAGAATATGATAATCTTAGGAAAGAAAATGATAAGCAAGTTACAAATTACTCTAATTTATTAGATCATAGAATGAATTTATATATTATAATTCGAAATAGGTGAAATAAAAGATAAAAAACTAGTTTTAGAGCTATTTTAAAAAGATAAGGATATATTATGCAATTTATAAGAATCTATTTCATTAAGGATAATATAGACTTTTTAGCTTATTTTATAAAAATGTCAATTGACCAGGCCAATTAGAAAAATCTCCCATAGAATAGTTATTTCAAACACAATCCAATGTGCAAGAACCAGACAAATGATAATATCACCATAAGCAATTCGAATTCCCAGTCCCAACAAAGTTAATCCAAAACCCAAACATTTCCAACACACTGACATGAAAGAATTCATGATATAAAACCCACAAATATGTACAAAAACAACTACGAAACAAACAAAATATTTTAGAATTTAATCCATTTTGCTGTCGCTTATTATACGTTTGATACATACAATATATCTTTATATTTTTATAACACGAACGGCTCTCGTCCCATAACATAGTAAGATCTGCCAGAACAGGATACAAATATATCTATCAATGTAGTTCTAATATAAATATACAAATAGATCTCTGATAATATGCAATTAGTGTCAGACTCCCAACATATTCCTAAAGGTTGCCCGATTAAGCCAACAGCGGCACCACATAATCCAACACCATCTCGTCGTCGAGAAACTCCTTCACCTTCGCCATCTCCGACTCCCAATTCACGGCCTCCAATTCACTCATTCCCTTGAAAACCGCTAGCGAACAAATTGAAAAATTCCTTCCCTTTTCCTGGGAGAAATTTTCCCCAAGGGTAAACTGCTCAATTGAAGGGAATTTACGTCTAATCCCTTCCAAAACCCCCAAAACCTCGTTTTTCACACTTTCTCCCAAACCCTTCTTGAGCTTCAAAAGGGTAACCCGGATGGCAGACCCAGGAGGAACTTTGATCGAACCCGTTAAGTCAGAGATCCAATCAACTCCCATTTTGTCATCAACTACAGGCGTTACGTAATTGTCAATAACACTGAGGTGGACCGGGTGGTCCTCATAGCAATCCAAGTCGGGCATGGACCCGTAGCGGGCATGGAGCATGTGGGTGAAGGTGAGAGAGGATAATGATCGGATGCGGACGAGTGGACTGGCGGACAGGTAGAGTACTGGGTCAAGTGAAATCATGCCATTGAGATTGCTGACCATCGCGTCGACTGCAGAAGTTTGGGCATCGGATTTGATTTTGAAGAGGACGATGTGCTCGAAGATTTTACCTGGCTCCATATTGAAGTGGAATGGAAGCTCTTGAGATAGAGAAAACGGAGTTGGCCTGGTTGGGTTATTTCTGAACCTAAACGTGTCCAATATATATATAGATAGAGATACGTGTGTAGTCCACGATGATTTAACAAAGGGTTGAGTAGTCTATAAGGGTAGGCTTGTCAAACGAAGTTTATTAGAAGTCGTTATCTTCATTTTAACATATCAATTTCACTTTAAATTTACTTCTATTAATAATAAATTTCAAATAAATATTAAATTTATTCAATTATACACTACATATCCGCGTCGCTTTAATTGCCCCCATAAAAGTAGACATGTTTCTATTTTCACATAAATTAAGAAAACGTAATTAATATAGTTAACAATATAAATTTTTCTTTTATGTTTCTAATATACCCTTTTATTCAATAATTGCTTAAGAATTAGTTTATATTTACTGATATAGGCATATTTGAAAATTTAAAAATTTATATACTTTAAATGAAGAAAGTAGCCTATAATTTGAGACAGGTGAACGAAGAAAATCAAATCTATTTTTATGGGATAGAGTGAGTAATTTTACCTACATAATAACAACTAATTTGTTGACCAAGATGCTTTTATTGTGTGATTTTTGGAATATGAATTTTTCCGATTGGTATTGGGAGAGATTTTGTATACAAAGAGAATAAGAAAAGATTAGTGGGGAAGAACTATTTGCTTATAAAGAAGAAATTGGGGGCACAAGTCGATTATCCTTATTAGTCGCCCATTAGAGTGAGAGGGCATTATCCCTTTATAGTGCTACGGATGGGAGGGAATTGTTGGGTAAGTTGAAAATTGATTCTTAAAGGAATGTTCGGAAATGGATTGTGGGATTGATCTATATATTATATTCTTAGTAGATGGAGGTGTGTCGTCATTTCAAAACATACATTTACAATTCGTTGTTTGTGTGTATATTCCATTTTATATGGAATCGATAATTATTTAGATGATAAGTATGGAAGTATATTCTTCTGGTTAAATAAGAATAATAGTGATGTAATGTTGCACAATATTTAATCTAAATCAATTAATAGCTTCTTTAAACTTCAATATTCTGGTTCTAACTTATTCAAATTAAGTTTTTCTCGAGCTTAAAATAAATGCTTAAATACGAGCTATCCAATGAGTTTAATATTGATATGATTATCATCGCTCTATCAACATATAAATATTTGGTTTAAATAAAATTGAATTTAATACATATATCACTTTAGTTCCCCAATTTTTCAAAATATAAGATATAGCATCTAGAAAAGTTATTTTTGGTAGGATTATGACCGTAAATTTGTTGTGTTGTACTTCTTACAAATATATTTTAGTTGTGGTGTATTTTATTATTTTTCCAAATAATAATTGTTTCGCGCGTTTTTGCTCGCTAACAATTAGAAAGGGATCAGCCAATTGCGTAAGGGACAACCCTCTTGGAATAAAGTCCCAAAAAGGGGTGTTTATTGAATATGAAGA